GCAGCTCATAGAGTTCCAACAGCCAGGACACAAGGTCCCTGTGACAAGGTGAGCGGCCCCAGGGAGGACCTTTGCTGTCATTCCGGGATCCCCTCAGATCACTTACCGATTGGTCACAACAGACAAATCCACCATCTGCTCCTAAAGCGCTTTGCTGCAGATGGTTACAAATGGACCGCGGCTCCGGGGAACAGAGGAGCTAACGCACACATCCACTCGTGCCCCCAGCACTGAGCGGGTGCTTCCGAACTAGGTTCTTGAGTGGAACAAATGGTTGGCGCTCAGCTTGTTGGCAGTTCTAACCCACCCAGGGGCACCACAGAAGAAAGGTGTGGCACGCAATTACAGCCACTGAAACTCCTATGGTGCTCGGTGCTGTTCTGAAACGGATGGGATCGCCATGAGTCGCAAATGACTTGATGCAGCACATTTTTCTGGTTGGTTTTTTTTTTGTTTTTTTTCTGAGATAAGGGCTAACAGCTGGGGATACACTGTGGTCCCCACTATAAAGCTTGTATTCCAGCAAGGAAATGGGCCAATTAACCTAGGAATGATTCGTTAAGGATTACAGTACGTGGTATACGAATGAGGTTCTAAGAGTCTAAACCAGGGAGACAAAAATCAAGCTAGGTTTGGCAGGTAAGGTGTGGGCCAGAGTGGGCTTACCTAATAAATAAGGTGGGACTCTCTTGTGGTTATGAATCTGTATTGAACATAAGCAGATGTAAGCCCATGGACACCTTGCTTATTGGGTAACTCACCCTCAAAAAATAAAAATAAATAAAACCCCCAAACCTCACTGCCGCCCCCAGGACAGTATAAAACTGCCCCTGTTAGAGAAAGTCCCGTCTGTCTTCCTCAGACTGTTGGTGGTGACAAAATGCTGCCCTTGCTGGTAGCAGCTGAACACTTCACCCACTCTGCCACCATGGTGAGCGACATCAAACAATAGCTAAGGTTTTATATCCTGATTTTTATAGCCATAATTCACCATAAGAACCCCCGTTGCTGCCACTACGATTTGCCCTTTTCACTTTTTTTGCCCATTAGCCTAGCTCCTGCCCACACTCCTGGTGATTACGTCTGCTGTTGTCCTTGTAGGTTGAACACAATAAATGGACGGAACGTAAATAACAAATTCTGCAGCCTCCTTGGCTTGTGAGACGATGCAGCATAAGGGATCCAGACTGTCCTTTACGTCTCTACACTGACTTGTCATGAGGGTTGAAATTAACCCGCAGGATAAAGACTCAGGCTTTAGAGCAGCGGTTCTCAACCTGTGGGTTGAGACCCCTTTGGGGGTCAAACGATCCTTTCACAGGGTTCGCTTAAGACCATCGGAAAACACAGTTTATTTCCGATGGTCTTAGGAACCAAGACACCACTCCTCTATCCATCTCCAGGCGGGTACGCCCACATGCAGATACGCCCACATAAGAGTACCCAGCGTGAAGACTATTACCCAGGCAACACCATGCTAAAAGACAAAATTTCATTTATTTGTCATTAGAAATAAATATTTCACAATAGATGACATATTGTTTTATTATGTTCAGTTTGTAACAATGAAAATACAGCCTGTATATCAGATATTTACATGATGCTTCGTAACAGCAGCAAAATTAGTTATGAAGTAGCAAAGAAAATAATGTTATGGTTGGGGGTCACCACCACATGAGGAACTGTATGAAACAGTCGTGGCATTAGGAATGTTGAGAACCATTGCTTTAGCGTTTTAGAGTCTACTCCTCTTTTAACATCAGCGCAGCCTTCCTCAATGATTACTTTAAGGCCCAACATTCTCTCTTACTACCTTCAACTGTGTGGAGACCTCGCCTACTAATAAATCCCAAATCCTCCTCATTCATCTTCGGCCTCACGAGAAGCCCAACTCAGGCTACTTGGGTTCCAGGGTCATTCTCCTCCAACTCCCTAGCCACCCTGCACACCTGTCTGTTCCCAGCCCAATGCCTCAGTGACAGCGCCCCAGGGGTTCTTTATTTTAAATTACTACTTAGTATCTGGGAGAAAATCTGCCCACATGGAAGACAGAGACTTGAGAGACTTAATTTTCTCCCTCACACGTTTCTGTTATGTTCCAAATTTCTAAAATGAGTACGTGTCAATACAAAAGTCAGTAGAAAGCTCCCAATTTTGGAGTAATAAAAGTTTGACTAGCCCATTGTTTGCCAGATTTTCCCAATCATATTGTTCAGGACAGGGTGGGAAGACATGTTAAGTGCGCATGCTCATAGAAAAACGGAATCAGAATCTCCAAGAGATAAACTTAGTCATCTGGACTTCCCCCGGACTCCGCAGATAATTTATAATCAGGCCCGGTGAGATAAACTAGATGAGTGGGAGAACCCGCTCAGGCAGCAGGAACCACGAGGGCCTACAACTCCCATACTGCCCCGCACACGCGCGACGGACGGGCCCGTAGCCTGCCGGGAATTGTAGTTTCCGTGAGCCAGACCTCTGCTTATAAGAAAGATGGAGCTGGATGCCGAAATCCTACCGCCCCAGAATGCAAAGGTCAGGAGTGACGCAATCAGGAGAGCGCAGGGTATTGAGCGCGGAGTGCCGGCCGCCTCCGCGGGCACCTCCGTCGCCTTC